GGGATTATCAAAACTACATCCTTCTTGTCTTCTTGTCTTAGAATAATTGAAAAACAATCATAGGATTTTATGAAGTAATAACTAATTTTTACGTTGTGGGTTCGAATAAACTGCCTGAAGAACGGACCTGTATAAACCAAGGTCCAGAGCAGCAGTAAATGCTGGTACAATGTCCAAAAAGAATCTCACTTCTCAAAGACCCGATCAATGCCGAGTCGACAGCTAATTTTGCCGTCCTTTACCGGCAATCTGAGATCAATATGAAGGAAAAATTCTTGGAGGCATGTTTATCAGATAATAAAAGAACAACAGTAACTTGTGTGATTGTTCTTTTCTTTATCGTGATGTTTCATGATGTATTGTTTTAGTTTTGTCTTTTTTTTACCAGAGAATTTAATTAGTGGTTAAAAATAAATAACATTTTTATCTAACCAAGTATAAACCTGATAATTTTTTGACAGAAAAATAGGTTCTTCAAACAAGGGAAATACCTACCTAATAAATGGAGATTGGAAGCAGTTTTCTACACAAGTTATCTTATAGAAAAAAAGATATATTATCATCGGCGTCCATACAATTATGTAGAAGCCCAACAAAACAGACACCATTACTGTAGATTTCAGTTCTTGTCGGCGAATGAAATTAAATGCATGACTTTTATTTCTCAGCACTCGTTCTTGAAGAGCTATAGCTTTTGCCTTAAATAAAAGTACAATTAAAAACTTTCAATGTATATGGCATAGATGTACTGACAATACATTTCTTTAAAAAAAATTACCGAAGTCTATTTTGTCATAATTTCTAAGTCTTAGTTAACAACAACAAGGACAGATGATGCAAACAAAGTTTTGTCAGCAAAATTAAAAGTGATAATTTGAGTGATGCTTATATATACGATTACCAAGTAATTATCAATGTTTAATTCAAAGTTTCACAATAAAGAAAGATGAAGACAAAATTTATAATACAGACTATGTTTTTGAAAGCAGTGCATTCTCAACATATGCATTTGTGTCAATATTCATAATGGTACAGGAAGTTTTATTCAAAGCTAGTCTTACCTGATGTCTTGCAATTCTGACGATTCTAGCATATAGAGATAGCATGATTAGGAGAGGTAGAAAATACTGGATTATGAGGAGTATAATTAAATGTGTTATAGAGAAGATCAGCTCATAGCGGCAAACACCGATGTATTTCTCTGAAGAGAAAAAAAACATGTTCACGAAGCATATAATACATGTACTTTCATTATAATTATATTTATTTATAAGCATAGAATCTCTTCCATAATGTATATATAAAGATAATTAGGTATGTCTTACATTTTTATTTTCTAATGATACGTTTTAACTGACTAAGAATTATATTCAATGGATTAACCTTTTTACAGAAAACGGTACATGTATGGTACTTACCTGGGTTGTAGAGAGTATACATAAAAATGCACGTACAATGGGATAGGAACCAGATACTAAAAATGGTGTACTTTGTGGATTTGGTTGTGAAGTAGAGATGATACCGTAACGGGTACAAAATGGCGACATACCGAGTAACCGTGATGGCTACTAAATGATAAGAACAGCTAGTACTCAAGGCAAGCACTTCACTCACCAAGAAACGACAAACGCCCCACTGACCTAAAAAGAATGTAGATTCGCTTAAAAATATTTTTAAAACCTTTTTCTTTTGTATTCTTTGCTCTATTCAATGCTTATTTTTTTTTATTTATTAATCATGGTACACTAATCCACTAATCCACTAATAATTGACATTGTCTACATTAATGACTAATTTTAGCACTTTTTTAACAAAATCCATTTCAAAAAGGACCATAATGGTGCTACAATATTGTTTGCTTGTCAGCCTTGAAAAAAAGAACATGCATTAATCTTTTGTTTTAATTTGAGCAAATCTGTAGTTGAGGAATAAACAGTGACAAATTTTAGTGGCGAAACTTTGCATGTTTCTGTATTCCATTGTTAATTCTTTGAATTAACAATATGATTAAATGACAATATTTTTATTAAATTAATTTATTTACATATTTCATATGATCAGAGCATCGGATTTTGTGTGTCTCTGATTTCTCTTCATGTTTCATTAGACAAATTATATCATCACCAGAATTCCTTGAAGTAGGAATCAGTTGATATCATATGACTGAATTGTTTAATCAAATTTAGAAATTATGAAGAGTTATGCTACGGAAACCATACAGTTCCAATTAAAGTTGGCATGGTCACTTGATACTCGAAAAGAAAATTATTATCCGATTCAATCAAAATTCATCAAAACGAGTTTAACATATTTCTATTCCAAATTAATTAAGAAAGGAAAAAAATTGTTGTAAAACAGACAGACAGAAAAACCTGCATATCAACACGAAAAAACATGCCCTCTCCTAGTTTCTAAAACAGAAAAAATAATGTAAAATTCATGTAATTACCTAAAGCACGACTGACTTCCGGCATGAGTTCTAGATGAGCAACATTGTATAAAGGATATATGACTCCAATAAGTAAATCTGTAACAGCCAAGCTCACAATGTAATGATTACATGGCGTGCGGAGGTTGGGAGTCCTCATTACAGCTCTGATAACTAGGGTATTCCCGGTTATGTTAATACACATTATTATACAAATCATCCCATAATAATAGATGTAAAAGGATATTCCATGATCTTCAGCAGTGTGTGGTTCTGTTAGATTCGTGTCTTTTAAAAACGTGGTGGTATTCGGGAAGACTTCATTGTTTGCGGCAGATGAAGGCATTTTACATTTTTATTCATTTACTTCCTGATTCATCTACTCTTCGCTATTTTTAATTTTTTAGTTGTTAAAGTCTCCAAGTACTAAAACTTGATATCAATATTGGTTGTGTACATTATTGTTTAAAAATGAACAAGGAAGCATTATGCAGATTCTTTTTAAAACATTTGAAGTGTGAAAATATATGAGTGCAAAAAAAAGCAGTTGCGAACCTAAAAAAATATCAAGATTATATATACAAAATACCTCTTTCTTTCCTTATTTTTTTTTTATTTTTCGTAGAATCACATGGAGGAATTTTAATATGGACAAGTATTTGGAAAGGAAAATGTCTTCAATTTATTTTAAACTCAACCTCAAAGGCTGACAAATCCAACCCATGTTTTAAAAGTTAAACCACAAAAAACAATAATTTTATATATGAGACATTTGAAAACCTGAAAAGATGCATTAACATAACTTCATTTCTATTTTTTGTCAAAATATAGTACAAACTTTATTTGATATGACTTTTAGAGTTTATCAACATTTTGTGCACATTGTTTTGGCTATAATAGGATCCATCCCCATTCCACATATTGTTCTCCATATTGTCACCGGCTTAAAATAATACATGTAGTATTTGTTGCTGACGACATTACACTTACATATGCCATTGTTGTTTAAATTGTCCCCCTAAAGTTTGTAGTGCCATGTGTGTTCACAATTTTTCTCTCGTAGGTTTTTGTATAGAATACTTCTCATACGTTTTACAAAGCAGTCGATTCGTGAATATTTAATGATCCCTCCCACTTTTTTCACGACACAAAACCGCTTTGAGAAAATGTGTCAACTTATGTTTGATGCTTTTTCTAAATTCCTTTAAACGGAGTGCATAGATGAATATATTTATAGCTGAGTTGAGATACAACAAAATTCGGCAGCTTGCCCTGCAATAGGAAAAAAATCATGTATAAATAATCCTTTTAATTTAATTTTTTTAATAAATTTCACTGTTTTTTAAAATACCATCAGAGACACGGTTTTTGCAGTGGTAGGTGGAGGATGGGTAATAGTAGTGGTACATGTAGTACCGTATAAAAGGACTGAAGTAGCAATCCTGAACACACTGTATTCGGTAAAAGGAGTATGTCATAAAAGGCACCCAGGCAACTGTGTAGGACACTAATAGAATGGAGACCATAAATGTTGACTTCAATTCATGATTGTTGATGTGGAAACAACATGCCCTGTCTTTATGCCATGGAAGTCGTTTCAGAATTGCTATAGCCTTTGCCTAAAAGAAATTAATCATTATTAGAACATTTGATTAAAATATAAATTTCTCAATCCTAGCTATTACATGTAGAAGTAATCGAAAATTTTCACCAACAATTTTTTTGTTACAAATTTTATGTCCAACAAAAATAATGGGGGAATATTATAATTTGAAAAATTATAAACTTTTTTATGAATTATATACAATGTATAGATATAATAGTCGTTCAATATTTCATTTCTATATTCTTTGAGAAAAAAGTACTATTAATACCAATAAAAAAAAATGTAACAATACAAAAGTTATGGGCAACTTTCAGGCTATAAGCATTAGGTATGAATGCTATTTCGTAAAATTTCAACAACCCCGTGTTTTGGCAATATTCGAGATTCTAGCGTACATAGGAATCATTAATAGAAGTGGCAGAATCAGTTGAAAAATGAAGTAGACACACATATGAGCCAGGGAGAAGATGAGCTCGAACCGACACAAGGGCTCCTGTCTCAGAATGTATTCCTCTGTGGAGTATAAAATTCATTTTCTAACGGATGTATCCACTTCGGCAATATCAATGCATTTGACTTTTAATAATCTTAAGACAAAATATTGATAAAAACGAAGCTGCCATTCAATTTTTGCTGAAAATTTTATGGCAATTACATTAATTGGTTTAAATTTAGATTAAGTGCTGACCTGGGTTGTAGAGTGTAAACATTAGTACACAAACACCTTGCGACATAGACTTAATTGTATATATATATACTACTCAGAATATAACTGGCAATATTTTGTCCAAATGCAAAAAAAAATGTCTTCAACAAACTTGCACGTGCATTTCATGTCATGGAAACTGTTTCTCGTCACATTTATACTTTTGCTACAATTGCACGATTTTCACTCAGGCAGCGTTGTGATTCTCTCTAAAATTTAAAAGAAGTGACCTGAGTGTTTACACTACGTTTATCAACACAATGGCCCCTCAAAGTGTAAGGCGTCGCCTGACGACAGAACAACTAGGTAGATTTATTGGAATGCTTGACGCTGGTTATTCACAACGTGATGTTGCAAATGCGCTAAACGTCAGCCAGAGCTTTGTAAACAGAGCCTGGAACCGACGGCAAACTTTTGGTACAGCAGCACACCGACATGGGGGTGGTCGTCAGAGATCAACAACTCAACGCCAAAACCATTTTGTGGCTCTTCAGGCACGACGCCACCCCTTCTGGGCAGCAACCAGCCTGCGTAACGACCTCCTGAACGCCTTGGGGGTAAATGTCGCGACTCAGACGAGACGTAATCGGCTTAACATTGTAGGTCTCAATTCGAGAAGGGCATGTGTTCGAATCCCTCTGACTGTGCGACACCGGTGGGAGAGATTGAACTGGGCTGAAGACCATGTCACTTGGACACAGAACGATTGGGTTCCAGTTCTGTTCACCGATGAGTCCAGGTATTGTTTGGACTTTACAGAAAGGAGGCAACGAGTGTGGCGACGACGACGTGAACGTTTTCATGATACCCACATCAGTGAACATGACCGTTATCAAGCCATCATTGATGCAAGGGGAGGCCATACTCGGTATTGACACTACATCGACTATTTGTGATGATGGACTTTCTCCAAAAACTGTGTAATTTTTTCTCTAGTTTTCTGTTAACTTTTTTGTATTGAAATGCCTATTGGTGTTGTTCTAAGATTTCAAGCATTCCTTATTGGTAAAAGTTCATGCTGTTCATAGATACCCATTCATAACCTGAGTAAACACATTTTTGAGTTAAATTTTTGTCTGTTGTTATGTTAGGGGTTAATTACATATATATAACCTAGTAATCCTTATCAAATTTTGAGTAGTATATATATATATATTAGCAAACGCTTTAAGTCATGGTATCAACAATAAATTTGCAAAATTTGACGAAAGGAAAATGCCAATAGTTGTCTCCTTTTAGAAATTATTCCTACGTGGAACTCATTTGTGTATTAAACGTATAAGGGAGACCTAAAACTAGGAATCCTATTCTGCTGATTCACGTTTATCACGATTTTTTGTTTTACTTTTACGACTTTATGTAGTTAAATATCAAAATATGAAATATATGTAGGTTACAGACTCATTGGTATCTTTTATTTCGATTCCAAAGGGAAATAAATCGACTCTCGTAGGAAATTGAATTTTGCTGATTGAATAAACATCGGCAATGTTTTAAAATACCGAACTGAAAGCTACCGAAAGAGATTAGTTCTTTTCATGTTAAAAATTTTATTAACATGGATTGGTATATAGTTTTTGTCTGATTTTGATTTGAGATGACATAATAATTAATCCCTAAAATATCAAGAAATCGTATGTTTTCTGTGGTGCTTAGATACGAGATTTTTTTTTTTTTGCTTTCCATATACACGTTATTTAATAAAAAAAAAGTTTGCACAATTTTTTGACTTTATTTAAAGATCCTTTAAACTTCCCCTACACTATACTTAGTAAACATTGTTCAGGTTATCTATTGAAAAATAAATCTATAATTCCTCTGAAATCCAACAATACGCAGTCGTATATTTCTAAGCAATACCAAAAAAGAGGCAAGTAAATGAAAAAAACCTCATTCGTCTGTCATTTAGGAAAACTTAAAAACAAGGCATTACATTTATTATCATAGAGTGATAATTTGATAGATAAAAAATGTTATCATTGATACATCAACATACTTTCACTTGATTACCGGTAACACAGCGACAGCTGTGATTAAGTCTGTTAATCTGTTCTACTGAGTCATGTTGACATCCATTTTCTTAATAAATGGCATAGTATTTGCTTTAAAAAAATTTTAAATTCCCTTTTTAAAAAATATATTCTCGCTCCATAATTAAGATACATGAATTGCATTCCTTCAGCCAAGTGGGTAATGTCTATACAGTAGACATAGCCTAAATACTTGAACAATTCCTTTCTAAAATTGATTATTATTTTAAATTATTGTTTTATATTTTTAAGTAAATTTTTGAATTATATCCAATAGAAAAGTAATTTTTTGTGTTTATTTTGCGTTTGTTTGCTGAATTTTTTATTCATGTTAAAATGACAACGTGCTAGACCTTTGATAAGTGAGGGACCAGTGCACCAGTGAAAATTTATGCTACTAGCTCTAGCGACATAATTCCCGGTTACTCCAGTTTAATTGATTGATTGTTTATTGTTTAACGTCCCACTCGAGAGCATTTCACTCATATGGAGACGTCACCGTATGCCGGTTAAGGGCTTCAAATTGAGGCCTATACTCGGCACTCAGGGTCATTCTTTAACGTATCAACGCCTACCGTGACTCGGGACCCACGTTTTATAGGTCATATCCGAAAGACCCGTGACTTTCACTTCTACTGCCGAGCGCTTGGCGAAGGAACAGTCACCACGTATGTTTACGTCTTAGGTTTGACGTGGCGCCGCGAAAGAGAATCGAACCCGGGCCTCCCGATCACAAAATACACCGGTCTGACAGCAACTTCTTGTCGTATATGGTGCTGCAGGAGAATTTGAAACCGGTCCTGTATGACCAAATACTTACTCTAGTTCAAACGCTCTGACCTCTGTAGCGGGCATGGAAAATTTAAAATCAGCTGTAACGTTAATGTTTCATTTCTACTTTTTGCGTTCTCTTTATAGAAACAAACAAAAATGCTTTTAAAGGAAATTATCAAGTTATTAAAAGTAGTCATACATACATGTACATGTAACATCAAGTCAAAGTGGGATTTATTGTTTTTGAAGCCATTTTTAATCTGTTTGGGAAATTAAGTGGTGGGTTCAAAATAAGGACACATGAATTTAAATTAATTATAATTTTTAACAAAACCGACTATCATTTTACTTACCTAATGGACGGCTGATTTCTGGTACCTGTTCCAGGTGCGAGATATTGTACACAGGATACACTAATCCAGTTAATAAGTCTTTAACCGACAAACTCGCTTTACAAAAATTACATGGCTTCTGTAGATTGGGAGTTTTAAAAACAGCTATAATGATCAGGATATTTCCTGGTATATTTATACAAGCAATAATAAAAACCGTCCCGAAATAATACACATAAAAGGTTGTTCCGGGACCAGAAGAACCAAGGATATCTTCCATGATAGATAAAATGGTAAGTGTTTGAATAAAAATACGTATCATTGACTGCAGCAGATGTTAGTAAGATTTTTTAAATGTCCTAGTTATGCATAATTATATTGATAATCGCATTAGTTTTATTTAAGATGCTTTATGAAGAAAAAAATAATAAAAAGTTATTTAACTGATTAATCATAAACACATTTTTTGGACTAATCTTATTGATAATTTCTTTCTGTTTTAACTTTGTGCTGTAAAATGTGATAAGCCCGTATAATATTCCAAAATTACCTTTTTACTTTTGGAATTTTCATTCGTGAAAAATGACCAAATTTATAGTTATAAAAGTAAAATTAACTAGTGCTAATTGTAACGGGAACCGTTACAGATGTTCCCCAAACGCTCCCCAAATCCCTTTTAATGCCATATTCCCTGTAACCTTCATTTAATAAGACAACATCTGTGCATTTTTTACTTTTACAACGTTTTCCCACAAGGATACCAATTATATTCAAATTTTAACATTGCACGCGTGCCCATGTGAATGCACGTGCGTAATGATCATATAATCTTGTTTACACTTTCTATATATTTAAATATACTTTACATAAAAGCATTTAGTCCAAAGTTATTTAAAAAATCACTCATTTAAGTGTATATTTAATTTCACTCATTCCAAATGCACGCACGTGCGTGCACATGCATGATGACAATACCCTCTTGTAGGAGGCCCTTATATCTATCTATGTTCTAAATCCCATCCTGTTTTGTTTAAAACCAAGGGAATTATAGCCATTTCAAGTTTCGGCCAATAAGATTGCAGCACACGTGCATCCACGTGATTTCAAGAATCTTTTTCTAAATCATATTGTAGAATGTCCTAATGCATGACTATGTTTTAAATTTCAAAGCATTTCGTCAAAAAACAAAGGAGATATAGCCATTTAAAGTTTCAGCCAATCAGATTGCAGCACACGTGCATGCGCGTGATTTCTTGAATTTTTTTGTATATCATATTGCAGGATATCCTAATGCGTGACTATGTTTTAAATTTCCAAGCATATCCTCAAAAAACAAAGGCGATATAGCCATTTAAAGTTTCAGCCAACCAGATTGCATTGCACGTGCATGCGTGTGATTTCATGAAATTTTTTCCATATTATATTGTAGGATATCCTAATTCATGACAATGTTTAAAATTTCAAAGCATTTCGTCGAAAAACAAAAGAGATACTGAGATTTTTGTTTCAGCCAATCAGAGCAAAGCGCACGTGCATGCGCGTGCGTTCGTGCTAATTTGACAGTGTCATTATATGAACACTATTAATATATCCTCATGTAATGAGTTTCAAAGCATTTCATCAAAAAATGTAAAAGTTATAGCTATATTAAGTATATCAGTCAATTCACTCATTTCACGCGCACGCACGTGCAGGCGTATGCGCGCAAAATGACCTTCGTTCCGCACACCTACACTACACACCTATTAACCCTAAAAAGGTTTTAGCTCAGTTGGGTGATCAGTTTCTGAGAACACTCGCGGACAAAAAAGTACCGGAGAACAAATAAGAAAAAAAATAATAATAACTAGATACGATCTCGTTGCGAGCAACGAGAGGTCTTCCGTCCGTTTTAGGAAAAGAAACCCACGTAAAATCGAGCTGAAAAGAGATTCAAAATTTTGGTCACAAGGAGGATTGAAACCATGTCGCCAACGTGAATGCGCTTTTTTTTTTACTTTTATATCCCCAACGCGCTAACCATTAAGCTATTGGGAGTACTGCTCTAAATATACTTGTGTATACCATGGTACTTTTGCAACAGTTCACCTGTCTAAGAATTATAAAAAGCATTCATAATTTCGCTCCAAATGCCACGAGTAAATATTCGCGCCTTTTCTTTGGACTGATCTATTAGATAGGTATGATAGCATCAATTAAATTTTAAAAATAAAACACTCTTAGGGCCTTTATTTCATTTTGACGTTAAGAAAGTATATATAACACATTATACACATTACATATCGTATCTAGCCCAGTTACACTAAAGCAGTGAAACGGAAATTAAGTTTTAAGATTGACTCTCAATTGCAACGTAGTACTGTAACGTGTCGGATCTGAGCGGTCAGTAGGTCCGTGCTCGGATTACCGAGTTTTACTGGGGATATGATTGAATGCAATATATACAGATAATAATATGACACCTGCCTGGTGTCTTTAAATCAAATGACCTAAGTGCTTTGTATAATTATATATCTTCAGTTAATACCGGCACCTGCCTGGTGCTATATGATAATTGCCTCACTATACTCGTAAAACTGACTATATAAGTCAACATCTATCTGCCTGGTGCCTCTTGATTTAGCCTTTAACATCTGCCTGGTGTATAACTGCTTACCAAGTTGCCTGTATAACTCTAGCCAAGTGGCTATAATATACTTACACAGTATGATTTAACTTTGTAAGAGCTTCTATGTCCTA